AGCCCACCATTTAGTATATTTTAGTTAACCAACACTAGAGCGGTGGCTCTAGTCCAACACCAATATTAGAATTTGAAATCTATGCATTAATGTAGTTCTCCCATTGTGTGCTAGTTGAGCTAAGCATTGCTAAGCAATCCCTAACCGAACATCTAATCTTGTTATATCCCCAAGCTAACAAAGGAACAAGATAACCAATAGTATGGCTGAGACAATAGGTAATTATCCCATAGTAACATTATAAAACAATGCAGTATTTAAGGAAAATAATAGAGCATTTGCAATATGGGACCAATATGTTTAAGTGACAAGCATGACTTGCCTTGCTCTGCGGCTGGAGGGACCTCGGCGACTATCTCGAAGTACACCGGAGCGTCGGGAGAGCAGGAATCTATGCGACATACAAAGCAAACATGTCACGCCCTGAAGCTTTCCCCCCTTTTTCTTGCTTTAAAAATTGGTTAAATAAATTGCCCGAAGAAATTATCTTAATTAACCTAGAGCTGATTTCCTATCTAATGAATGCAATTAATAATTGGAAATGGCATTGTGGAATTTTTCTTGGGTTCCCCATGCTCCAATACATTAACAGGATTTTTAGTGGAATTTTCAGAGCCTTGGAAATAATTTTAACCAATTAAAAATGAGCAAGGGCAATTTTAAATCCCAGGAAAAATCCTTTCTTCTTTTTCTTTTTCTTTTTCCTCCTTTTTCCTCTTCTTGGGCCGTCGACCCACCTTTCTCCTCCCGCGTGCCCCTTGCTGGGCCGGCCCGCTCCTCCCTTCCCCTCCCCGAAGTCCTCCCTCACGCCCTCTTTCTCCGGGACGCCGACAGGTGGGCCCCACCTGTCGGGGTCGTCCCCTTCCTCCAGCCGTCGAAACCACCGCGCCCACCTCCTCCGCTCCTCCCGCGCCCACACCGCGCCGCTCCCGCGTCCTCCCCACATCGCCGCCCTCTCTCCCGCGTCTCCCGGCCCGCACGCGCGCTCGCAAGGGGCGGGATTCGAATTTGAATCCCCCCATTCTCTCTCTCCACCCCACGTCGCCGGCGAAATCGGAGGCTTTCCCGGCCACGACGGCTTCCCCCTCCACCTATAAATTGCTCCCCCGAGCCTCCTCTTCCCCTTCCCGCTCTCGCCGCCCCCTCCCGTGCCTCCTACCGAGCCCGCGCCGCTCGCCGCTAGCGCCGCCGCTTGCCGCCGCCTCCGGCCGCACGCCGCCGTCGCAAGAGCCGTCGCCTCGCCGCGCAATCACTGCCGCTAGCTTCGCCGCCGTGAGAGCTACCTCGGCCGCCGCTCGCTTTCCGTTCGCCACCGCCGTACCGCTCTCCCTACACGCCGCTGCCTACTACCGCCTCCGGCCGCGCGCCACCACCGCTAAAGCCGCCGCCGCGCCGTGAAACCGTTGCCGTCGCGCTCGCCAGTGTCGCCCGCACCTCGGTCACCACTCGGTTGCCATCCGCCGCCGCCGGAACCCGATTCCCTCGCATCGCCGGTGAGGACCCCTTCCCTCCCCCTCCTTTCCTTTCCCTTCCAGCAAGCGCCGAGCCACGCCGCCGTTCCGGCCGTGCGCCGTCGCCTTCGCGCCGGCCGCCGCCGCCTCGCCGTCCGCCGGTCGTCTTCGGAGGCCGTGTGCCGCCGCCGCCGCCCTGCCATGGTCGGTCGGCTTGAGCCGTGCCGAGCCACCATCCACTCCCCCTCCCGCCTTGTGCCGCTGCCCGGTGGGCCTCACAGACTGGTGGACCACCCCTCCCCTTGAGCCACCAGCCGGCGCCCCCTCCCTCTCCCCTTGTGCCGCTGACAAGCGGGGCCCGCATGTCGGCGCCGCCCCCCCCCTTTGATGACGTCAGCTCTGGGTATTATTGCGCAATAAATTAATTAAGGATTTTTTCTTTGTTAGTAAAAACATAGTTTACCTTCTAAAATTCATAAGTAATTCATCCGAGCTCCGTTTAAGTCCATTCAAGTCTCAGTAAATTCATAAAAATGCAAAGAATCCATTAAAAATGGTTTTGTTCCCTGTTTCAGTAGTCTTATAGTATGTTTTGCTTGTGTGCTTTGTTTGTCGTGTAGATTTCGGCCGTTTCGTCGATCCGCAGTTTCTCGAAGACGTTGCTGAGGTCTCATTAGTGCGAGAGCAAGGCATGTCATGCATTATATTTGATCATATTGTACCCTATTTACAAATATCCCGCATTTCTATTAAATGTTGCATTCTTTTTCAATGTTATGTGGGATGGGTCCTATTACTCAGCCATATATTGTTTACCATATGCCATTGATAACTGGGGTATCAAAATGATTAGATGTTGGTTTAGGAAATGCTTAGCCATGCTTAGTTCAACTAGTACACAAAAGGGGATCACATTATTACATAGACTCTGACTATGAGCATAGTTTTGGTTTGGTGCCACCGCAATGGTGTTAGTTAATTAAAATACACCGAATGGTGGGTTGTGGGTGCATGGTTTTGCTGGTCGCACCCATGGCAATTAAGGACCGGTTCACGGGAAACCCTGGGAGACTTACCGTGCTTACCACAAGCAGGAGTGGGTAACTGCTTGATCTGAAGTATAGCTCGACCCTTTCCTAGGCACCAGTGGCGAGGGTGGGCGTGATGGAGTTGGGTCGGCCGGGGTGTCCGGTTGTCCAACTGCCGGATTCACCGCGGCGCAAGAGGGGACCGCCCACTGCCTTTTGAGGGGTGGGGGTGAAACCTTAGCGTGGTGTGGATGGTTAGGGGAGGGTTATGCGGAGGGTCTTGTCACGATTTCCCCCTTTGCAGTATCATGGTGATACTTCGGGGCATGGCGACATGTGTGGAATCGTGTCTTCTGGGTACAGTTGTACACCTCTGGCCAGAGTAAAACTATTCGAATAGCCGTGCCCACAGTTATGGGCGATCAACCAGATTCACCGTGATTAGTCTCACCCTAGTTTAGCTTAATGAACTGGTGTAGTTCAGGTGGTTGGTTGGGCCTGTTGCAACGTGGTGTAGCGTTGGACAGTGATTGGTTAATATTGATTAATTACTACAGCTGTTTTACTGCTTTCAACTACTGCTTTTAAATGCTAGCTTTATGCAAAAGAACCCCTAGCCTGCTTTGGTTATATCCTGCATCATACCACCTCTTCCGGTATGACTTGCTGAGTACAGTGGGTAGTACTCAGTCTTGCTCTCTTTTCCCCCACACCAGAGTTGAAGTTCTTCTCAGTTGGAGCCGTCTCAGAGAGGTTGGTTTCGTCGCTGCCGTCAAGGTTTGCCTGTGGAGTGGAGTCACCCCGCTACTGAAGTCAAGCTTCTCGGTTTAGCTCGCTTTTATCTTTTCCGCTGCATTTGTAATCTTTTCTATTTTTGTAAGACGTGGATTTGTATGTCAACAGTTGTCGTTTGTGTACCCTGGCTGGTCCTGGACAGGGATTTAATGCACATTCAGCTTAGAAATTCTGGTTCGTGAATTTCTGGGCGTGATAAAATAATACAAACAGGCTATAAGACTACTGAAACAGAGAACAAAACCATTTTTAATGGATTCTTTGCATTTTTCTTGATTTACTGAGACTTGAATGGGCTTAAACGGAGCTCGGATGAATTTTCTATGAATTTTAGAAGATTCACTGCGTTTTTACTATAAACAAAAAAAATCCTTAATTGATTTATTGCGCAATAATTAAACCCTGGAGAGAGAGAGGGTGGCACGGGCCCGGCTCAAGCCGGCTCGGCGGCCATGGCGCGCGGCGGCGCGGTTTGACGCAGCGGCGGCACAAGGCGGCGACCGGCGGCGGAGAGCGGCGGCGACACGGCAGTGCGGGCAACGCTAGCGGCGGAAAATGAGCGGCTAGGCAGCGGCGCGGCGGCTAAGTGGCGCGGGAGAGAGAGAGAGAGGAAGGTGAGGAGTTCCTCACCGGTGACGATCAATGATGGTGAGCGGCGGGATGATGATGGCGATGAGTGGCCGAGCTTCGGGATCACCTAAGGAACACAATGGGAAAGATTAGAGAGGGAGAGAGAGATCATAGAGGACGGGGACGCCGGCCGAAGGCGGCGGCCATGGCGAAGCTCACCGGCGTGCGGTGCGAACGGGGCTCCAGCGGTGGAGGGGCTGACGGCGTGGCCCTCGGGCTCGCGAATCCGATGGCGGCGATGGCGCGGCTCAGCGCAGCGGCTAGTGGCGACCGAAGCTACGGCGGCGGCGGCGGAGAGGAGGGCGACTGTGCTAGGGCGAAGGAGGGCACGGGGGAGCTCGGCGAAATGGGGAAAAAGAGAGAGGGAGGGGCGGTGGTGCTTAAATAGGGGAAGAGGGGGCTCGGGGAGGCTGGGAGTGGGCTGATTTCACCGGAGTAGTGGGGAGGTGGAGAGAGGGAGCGGGGCGCGGGGAAGGCGGCGACGCCGGCGGCGTGGCCCGGGAGGTGCGGGAGAGGCAGGAGCAGCGATTTCGGGCACGGGCGGCGCCAGCCAGAGGTTGGGGACGGGCCCACCTGTCGGTGACCCGAGGGGAGGAGGGGCTCGGGCGGCCGGCTGATGGGCCTTGGACTTCGGCCGGCCCAACTGGTAGGGGGAGGGGGAAAGAGAATGGGCCAGCGGCCCATTAGGAAAAAGGAGGGGAAAAAGAAAAAGAAAAAGAAAAAGGAGAAATGAATTTTCAGGGATTAAATAATTGCTCGTGCTCATTTTTATTTGGTTAAAATTATTTCTAAAGCTCTGAAAATTCCACTAAAAATCCTGTTAGCGTATTTTGACACGTAGAACTCAAGAAAAATTTCACATGTCATTTCCGATTATTATTTGCATTTATTAAATTAAGGTTTCTCTCTTGCCACTTCACAAATAATTTCTCGAGACTATTTATTAATTAATTTAGACTTGGGAGAAGAACTTCGGGGTGTGACACTTGCTCCCTCCATCCCACGCCATGGCTTCGTTGCCGGCGAGCAGCCGGAAGGGAAGAAGAACCAAGGGTATTTTTGTGTGAGATGTCATTGTTTTCTTTTTTGACGTAAACATAGTGGCATTGTGGCGATGGCAATGGCAAAATCTCGGATTTCTCGCCGTATGGTATGGTACGGCAGACAGAGTACATGAAAAGTGGTTTTGCTTTGCTTGGTCGTCTCCAAATTGACCATGGCAATCCAATCCTATTCTTACTCGGGTCGGGGGTCAGAGCGCACCGCATATCGCATCATTTTTTTCGGGCAATCCAATCGTATAGGTTTCCACTACATACTTTCCCATTTTTTTCTTACACTTTGGTTCTATAAAACGCCGCACATGACGTCGAAAGTCACCCCGCTATCGCAGCAATCCAAAATCCCCAACCCAACCCAACCCAACCCAACCGCACTATCACGCCACTCTTCGCCCGCCCGCCCGCCGCCGGAATCGCCATCGCCCGACCGCCGCCGCGTTCGTGTCCCCACAGGCGGCTTCTCTCCCTGCATCACCATGGGTTCTGACTTCAAGGCAATCCCCTTGATCGGTAAGATTCAGATTCAGATTCTGGAATCCTGCGTGGGATTCTTTTTTTTCTTTTACCTGCTTTGCCACCACCAGTTGCAGTTAGTTCAATTAACCACAGATTACGACTGCTTGTCTGCAAAGGATACTAGATACAGCTTTTGTAGAATTTTGTGTAAAGATACTTGGTGGGATGAGATGATATATGCTTGTACTTTGAAATCTCCATTTGAAGAATTCCTCTATCTTTGTTCATTTGTCAGACATTAGTCCCCTTGTCGGAAAGATTGATGATCCGAGCATGGTCAATGACGAGGATTTGCTGCAAGTTGTGCAAATGTTGGACGATGCCTGCAGGGAGGCTGGATTCTTTTATGTGGTAAAATTTACTTATTTACTTACTAGCCTACTTCAGACTTTTTAGCATCAGTTTACTACAATGGGTACAGCAGACTAGCTACACAATATCAATCCTAATCAAATGGTGTCTGTATGTTACTAACAGAAAGGCCATGGGATTGCTGACTCGCTAATGAAGCAAGTTAGGGATGTGACACAGAAGTTCTTTCAGCTTCCTTATGAGGAAAAACTCAAGATTAAAATGACACCTCAGAGTGGATACAGGTGTGATATAAAATGACAGCTTCAACCTGTTTTTAAGTTTCCAACATTTTTCCTTGTTCCACATTGGATCCTTCTAATCCTCCTTCCTGTATAACATAACTTTGTTGTCTTTACTGTCAGAGGGTACCAAAGAGTTGGTGAAAATATTACCAAGGGTAAACCTGACATGCATGAAGCAATTGATGTAAGTTTAATTTTCTCTTTATTATTTTTTTATCATCCATTAATTTGTTCCTGAGTTAATCCCTGGAAGAAAAAACATCACAGTGCTACACGCCTATTGAACCTGGTAAATATGGAGACCTTGCTAAACCAATGGTAGGATCTAATTTGTGGTATGTATCCAACTCTCCATCTCTGTTTTTTTCCTACAGCACTGTATTATTTGACATATGCGAGACAGATATTATGTACTTGACTTTGATATAAAACAATACCCCAGTTTTGATCTATTGCATATTTTAATAATACTCACAATATAAATAATTTAGCTTATAGCACACCTCTATTTGGAAGAATGTGAGGGAATAAAATTTATATTTACAATATTTTATCTAGTACCAACATGTATTATGTTACAATATGGGTAGAATTATGAATTATAGTAAAGAAAATAGAAGTTATGGCTACAATTGTACTTGCATACTTCAATGTATTTTTGTTACTAGAAGCATATTAAATAGTTGGTACTAGGTACCACAGAATTATTGCTTGTTGAATTACTTCAGCTATTACTGAAGAAGTTCTGAACTTTGGTAGACTGCCTTTGAGTATTTTAGGTCAGAGATCTATCAAAATTCAAATAACCGGTTCATTTATTTTTATGCAGGCCCAAATATCCATCAAATTTTGATGTACTGCTGGAAAACTATATCAGCCTTCTAAGAGGTTAACTTCTATACTTAGTTTAAATCTTTATTTGTGCATGTATGCTATTGATCCATTTATTATTTGTTACTTATGAGTGACAGCATTTGTTATGAAAATTTACTTGTAGATCTTTCAAGAAAGATCATGCGAGGTATAGCCTTGGCGTTGGGTGCGCCAGTTGATGCTTTTGAAGGTACAACCGCAGGAGATCCTTTTTGGGTTTGCAGGCTGATCGGTTATCCTGTATCAACTGATATTCCAGAAGAGCAGCGCACTGATACTGGGTGGTGAGCAAATTGTATCTACGTTTTTATTTGGTAATATATCCTGCAAATCGTGTGTATTGAGTGTAGAGTCATCTGACACTGCTTTTCTTTTACATGGCATCCATTCTACGATCAATTCAGTGGAGCTCACACAGACTATGGTTAGTACATATCTTTCAAAAGTTCTGTTGGAATTGAACTCATATGTGGAAATACGCATATATGTTTCTTTGATTGATGTATTGTGGAAAGTTTGTTTTTTCTTTATTTGTGTTTTAATCCTAAAAAATCAGTAGAGGTTATATCAAAACCATGGGGATCATATTTATCATTTGTTAAATTTGTAGGTCTTCTGACATTGGTTAATCAGGATGATGACATATGCGCCCTTGAGGTACTTATTTCTTCACCATCTAATACATATCTTATAGGAATAAGTCATGTCTTTGCCCTCGAACTCTACTCAGATTCCAATTTTCAATGTGGATTTAAAAAACTGGTTGTTTATCACCAGAAATCTGGACAAATATCATTGGTTACCCTATTCAGAGATTGTTTTAATTGAGATATTTTATGGCCACACTGTTTGTTTGCTTGGTGGCCTTTTCTCCTTGCAATTTCTTATCGCCAAAGTTATTTCCATGTTATCTCTGTCTAGTAATAAAGAAGAGGGGACGTAGAATGGATAGAAGATAAGAACTTGATTTCAGATTGTTTTATTTTTCATTAGAGTGCAGTGCATCTGAGCTGGGCATCTTTGTACAGAATTTGACTCATATAACCTAACAAGAGATACTTCTCTACTTTTCTAACATTCTACGCATCTTCTAAGATGCATTAGTAATTAGGAGTATGCAATTAGCATCTTACAGTTTCTTCCCACTGTCCATATTTAGCCTGAAACAGGGTGAAGCAAACAATTTTGATCCGTTTGTAATATCTGGTGAATATGTTTCAGGTCAGAAACCAATCAGGTGAATGGATATATGCCAAACCAATCCCAGGAACCTTCGTCTGCAACATCGGTGACATGCTGAAGGTTCTTTTCTTCCTTTGCAGTTTCACTGATATCTTTATGGTCATCAAACATGAGACGCTTATCAATTGTCTTCTTTGGTTAGGTTTGGTCAAACGGAATATATCAGCCAACACTTCATCGAGTTGTTAACAACTCCCCTCGCTACCGTGTATCTGTTGCATTCTTCTATGAGGTATGTCTTGCTTAATCTCTAGTCTCAATCCTACACATAGTTTATGTGAAGTTGATTTCTCATGTTCTTTCTTTTCTTTCTGAATTTTGAATGCTACAGTCAAACTTCGATGCTGCCGTAGAGCCTGTTGAGTTCTGCCGGGAGAGAACAGGTGGTGTTGCCAAGTATGAAAAGGTTGTGTACGGAGAACACTTGGTTCAGAAAGTCTTGACAAACTTCGTCATGTAAAATTTGTGGAAAAGAACATGCATTGTACTCCAATGTCTGATCGCAACATTCGTCACTAAAATAAAATCATTTGTAAATTTGTCATAGCACAGTAGAACAGTCATATTGAAGAATGGAATGCATCCTTAATTGAAATCACAAGCGATGTGAATAATCTTTTCGTGCATGGCATAGATGTGTAGATCATGGAATGATTGCAGTTACTTCTTGTTACATGTCCCAGCACAGGAGGAAGATGAGTAGCAAAAACTAAATCAGAAAGAAAAAATCTAAAATCAAGTTTTCCTAATAGACGCACACTTATGAAAAAACTCACGAGCAAACTACCGAACACGGACGTAGCGGGCTTAAACATAAGCGTGACCAAGGCACTACCTTTTCTGTCTTATATACTCCCTCCGTTGAGTTTCATTTAAAAATTTAATACAAATATGAAAGTATATAATTACTAGAAAAATGCCCGTGCGTTGCAACGGGTGAAAATAATCTATCTATTAAACTATAAAGATAGCTTAAAAATGACACGATATTTGCTTTGACCACATTGAAATTGTTACATTAATTAATAGAAAAAGATAATAGTTGTATATACATTATAGAATGATTGTATTTATAGTAAATGTCACAAAACTAAAATTATTTGGTTAAATCCAATTATGTTTTTAAAATATGTTACTGAAAGGACCTTGATGTCGCCTAGAGGGGGGTGAATTGGCGGTTTTTAAAAATGAATACGGAAGCTAAAACAAAACAGGGTCGGATTGTCTGATATGATATCAGGTCGGATAGTCCTATGTGATCGGATTGTCTGAACTGAGATCAGACTATCTGACCTACACAACAACTATACAAACAAGAGAACAACCTAAGAGTTCTAGATTATACACAGGCAAAGAGGTGAGCTCAGCCAACAACAATATTAGCATAGCACAAAGCAATGGAACAAGAAGGTAAAGAGAGTGAAGATATCACCGAGGTTTACACGCCGATGTATTTCCCGGAGTTCAAATCCTTGAGGGGATTCTAGTCTCCGTTGAGGGGCTCGCAAAGAGCCGGGCCTTTTTCAACCCTATCCTCATGAGGTTGCACAAATGCACTCCTCCTTCCACTAAGGGTATCTCTTTCCTTGTGGAGGCGAGATCCGGCCTTCATAAACTTCTTTTGGCCAACCACACGTAGATCGGTGGCCCAAGAATAACACCTAGCCGTCTAGGAGTCCTCAACCTCTAAGAGTAATAAGCACCACAGAACTCTTGGACAAATCCTAATGCTCAAGATCAAGAGAAACACACACTAGGCTCCCAAACTCCAAATCCACACACAAAGATCCAAGTCACAAAGAACAAGGAGGATTTGAGATAGAGAGGGAGAGAGCTTAAAGATCCAAAGCACTTAACACAAAGCTCAAATATGGGGGGTTTTAAGAATACTCTGCAAGAGGATCCAAATATGGGTGTTGGAAAGCCAAGAGGGAAGGCAGTTAAAAAGCTGAAGCAGTTGGCTGAGGCAAGTGGAATTGTTTTCCCATCTGATTCTCTATCTTCTACTGATTTAAATCCTGATATATCTTGTGAATCTGAAAGTGATCTTACCTCTGTTATACCTGCTGATTGTGATATATCTTTGCTTCAAAAGATAGGATCTGAGATGTGTGAGACTTCCGGGTTTCAAGCTTGGTGGACTTGGGAGATGTTCAGGTCATCAAGCCAAAAGCTATTGGACCATCCACTGATGAAGCCTAGTTCTGTCAAACTTTTAGGGCTGCTAGTGGCACTCTTTAGGGGCATGTGTTTATCCCTATATCAGCCCTTTTATTTTGTGTTTAAGTTATGTAAACTCTATGCTGGTACTATGCGTTGGTGTGCTTGGGATCTGCATGGATTATTCCTGCTTGTTATCTTTCTCTCTTTAAGACTAGTTATCAAATGAATTCGGTTATGAGAAATTGGAATGTCCTCCGCTGGAATGTTAGAGGTCTAAATTCTGATGACAAATGGTTAGCCATTAGAAATAAAATTGAGGAAAGTGGCTGTGTTGTTTTTTGCCTTCAGGAACAAAAAGATCCTCTTTTGATCATTCTTATATAAAGAAGTTTGCTCCCAAACGTTTTGACAAGTTTGCTTTCTCTCCATCTGTTGGAGCTTCTGGTGGTATTTTCGTTGGATGGAATAGTTCAATTTTTGTTACTTTCACCTCAAACCATTCTGGTTTGGTATGTACTATAGTTTCAGTTTATGGTCCTTGCACTGGTCCTGAAAGAAATAATTTCCTGTCCTGGCTCCACCAGTTGAACATTCCAGATGATGACCTTTGGCTCATTATTGGAGACTTTAATTTTTATAGATCGGTTGCAAATAGAAATAGACCAGGTGCAGACATGAATGACATTTTCCTGTTTAATGCAATGATCAGTGATCTGGGTCTGGTTGAGCTGCCCCTCAAGGGAAGGGCTTTCACTTGGAGTAACATGCAGCATAGTCATTTAATAGAGCAATTGGATTGGTTCTTTACCTCTACTACTTAGACCTTAACCTTCCCCCATACCATAGTAAAACCACTTGCTCGTTCTACTTCAGATCACATACCTTGTGTTGTGCAAATTGGAATTGACATCCCTAAAGCTGACATCTTCAGATTTGAAACTTTTTGGATAGAGCATGATGGTTTCTTTGATTTAGTTCCATTTGGCAAAATCATGGGTATGAAGGTAATGCAGCCAAGAATATTTCTATTAAATTGAAGACATTGAGAAAGGGTTTGAAGAAGTGGAGTAAATCTGTCTCTAAACTTCAATTGTTGATTAAAAATTGTAATGCTGTCATAGCTTTTTTGGACTCCATTGAAAATTTGAGAGATCTCACTTTCTTGAATGGAATTTTAGAATTCCTATCAGAAACAAGCTGTTGTTATACCTAAAGTATAAACAAATTTATTGGCAAAAGATGTGTACCATCAGATGAGCCAAGTTTGGGGGTGAGAACACAAAATTTTTCCATGCTATGGCTACTGAGTCTTATAGAAGAAATGCAATACCTTCTTTAGTAGACTCTTCTAGTTTAGTCTGTACAAGACATGAGGAGAAGGCTCACATAGCTTGGAGTACTTTTTCTTCAAGAATGGGTTGTTCCCAGTTTGAGTTTATGCCTTTTCAGCTGCAAGATTTTTTCCATGCAAATCAATCTCTTGCTAGTTTGGATCAGCCCTTTGGTATCTCTAAGTTGGACAAAATTATAAAGAATTTGCCTATAGACAGGGCTCCTGGGCCTGATGGATTTAATGGGATGTTTGTGAAGAAATGTTGGCCAATCATTTGTCAGGATTACTACAGACTTGCAGCTAAATTCTACTCTAGTACTCTGGACCTGGATCCTTTAAACCATTCTTTTATCATCTTGGTTCCAAAGAAATCTGTGCCCGAAGGTATAAATGACTATAGGCCAATATCACTCATGGGAATCTCTCTTAAGATTCTAACAAAAATCCTGGCTGATAGACTGCAAAAGGTGATATTGGAGTTAATCAGTCAGAATCAATATGGTTTCATAAAAGGGAGAACTATACAAGACTGTCTAGCATGGAACTTTGAATTCCTTCATTAGTGCCATCACTCCAGAAGGGAAATAGTTCTTCTAAAATTGGACTTTGAGAAGGCTTTTGACACTATTGAACATGAAGCTATTTTGCTAGTAATGGAAGCCATGGGTTTTAGTGCTACATGGCTTGGATGGATAAGGAAGATCTTTTCTTCTGCTTCTTCTTCTTCAGTTCTGATCAATGAGGTACCTGGAAAAAATTTCCATTGCAAGAGGGGAGTAAGGCAAGGTGATCCTCTGTCACCTTTACTCTTTGTATTAGGAGCTGAACTTCTCTAGGTCATTGTCAACAGAGCTTATACAATGGGTCTTCTATCAAAGCCTTTTCCATCAGACTTTGACCCAAATTTCCCTATTGTCCAATATGCTGATGACATCCTGCTCTATTTAAAAGCTAGTGGTAAAGAGCTCTTTACTCTAAAGGCTTTATTGCAAACCTTCTAGCTGGGAACTGGTCTGAAGGTAAATTTTAATAAATCTTGTCTCATTCCAATAAATGTTGATGAAGGGAAAGCTCAAAACTTAGCTGCAGTCTTTGGTTGTCAATTGGGATCTTTGCCATTTACATATTTGGGTTTACCCCTTGGTACCACTAAGCCAAAGGTAATAGATTTTGCACCTTTAGTGGATAGAATTGAAAGAAGGCTTACATCAAACGATTCCTTCCTGTCCAATGGAGATAGATTTACGCTGGTTAATTCAGTTTTCTCTTCACTACCTACTTATTACATGTGTACTCTAATGTTGCCAAAGACAGTGATTGATAGCATTGACAGAGCAAGAAGACATTGTCTTTGGAGAGGTTCTGAGGTCAACTCCAATAAAAAATCTTTGGCAGCCTGGGATAAGGTTTGTAAGCCTAAGAGAAAAGGTGGCCTGGGAGTGCTAAACCTTTCTATCCAAAATCAAGCTTTGCTCATCAAGTTTTTGGAAAAGTTTTACAATAAGAAGGATTTGCCCTGGGTCAATCTTGTTTGGTCCTCCTGTTATGGTAACTCTGTCCCTCATCTGACAAACTTGAAGGGCTCATTCTGGTGGAGAGACATTTGCAAATTAATGGATGTCTTTAGAGGTATTGCAAGGTGTCATCTGAAAAGTGGAAATACATGCTCCTTTTGGTATGATGTATGGGCTGATCAACCTCCTCTTTTTCACACTATGTCAAAGCTTTGTTCTTTTGCTCAAAACCAGAATGCATCTGTCTCTGATTTTCCGTCCATTGAGGCCGAAGGAAATTTTACACTACCTTTATCTGTTCAAGCTTTTCAGGAGTTTCAAGAGCTCACTTCTTCCCTTGTGGATATCGAGTTGGTTAATGAAAATGATGCTTGGTCTTATATTTGGGGGAATATGAAATATTCTTCACAAAAATTATATACACTGAATTTCAGAGCTATTAAGCCTCCAGTCCATTTTCTATGGTTATGGAAGTGCAAAGCAGTTTCAAAAGTAAAGGTTTTTGGGTGGCTACTCATGATGAATAGATTGAACACCAAGTTCATGCTAGATTATAAGAATTGTGCTCCTCCGGATTGTGATCTTTCTTGTGTTCTTTGTCAATCGGTAGCTGTTG